CTGCACACAACAAACTTTAGAAAGGGTCTTAATCATCAGATAAACTGATTGTATGCCAAACATCTGTTGAAATACAAATGCGACTTACTGCATGTGATGTGCTTGAAGACAACACTGAGGCAGGGGGGAGGCTGCTCTGATGACTGGAAAGGGAGCTAGAAAAAAATTTCAAAGAATTAATAGAATTACTTTTTTCTGAAACTATATTTAATATATATTTCCATGTATATATACACATATAGAAACACAGAGTAGGTAGTAGGATATTAGTTGAAGAATAAAAATTGTAGGTGTGTTTATACATATACATGTGTTAAAGAAAAAATTGCCTGTATATATATATATACATATATATGTGTATATATATACATATATACCCTATATATATACATATATACCCTATAGGTATCTAGGGTATATACAGGATCTTTTTTTCTTTAACTAATATCCTACTACCTTTTAATGAAAAAAATTGAAGCACAGAGACAACTGTTACTAACAAGAAACATCTACACCACCATTCATTTGTATTTATCAATTGACTATATTTTTAGAAAAACAATAGTTGCTTCAGGAATTGTGTAACAACGATTGCAAGACACACCAAGCCCAAAACCAGAAGAAGGTTCACACAACACATGGCTTGTTTCTCTTTCTTTCTCTGAGCAACACTGCTGCCTGCCATGGGGCACAGGTATTAATTAGGCCAGACTGCTTTGTTTTGATTCACTATGGTATTTCTCACATTTTAACCTGCATAACGTTAGTTTAACCAAGTAGAACTGCAGGGTATTTGCCTCACAATTCTGCAAAAAGCCTCAACACACTCTCAAAAGACAGTGCTCAAGAAAACTAGCAAATGAAGAGCATCTTTGAAAGCCCCAAAATTACAGAATCTGGCAGTTTAATCAAGTTTGTACCACTACACCCCAAGAAAAAGCAGTTTCCTCTTTGAAAAGATGAATCAGAACTATCAGTTTTATACATACTGTAAAACACAAAAATTAATCCACTGCTGAAAAACACCTGCAGATAACAGTTTTAGGAAGCAACTCTGCTTTAGCACCACCTTTTTTCCCTAGCTGACCAGGCCTGCGAACTTTTGGCAGTAACAGTAGCACCGACATTCATCTGTAATTCAATGACCTTTCAGTGTCTCCCTGAAAGGTGACTGAAACCGGTTTTACACTGACAATTAAGGTCAAAAACGTAACTTACAGCACAGTATGGAATTAACAGAATGAACAGTGAACAAAGACAAACAACAAAAAGCCGTAACAAATATGTATGGTTTGGTGCTCAAAAAGCGCTTCCTCGTGTGAAATCAGAATCAAGAGAGATCCTAACCAGAGCAAATATTTCAGCATTCTCTATGGAAAGAGCCACAAGAAAATGCAGCAGATTTCATAACAAAGCTGCAGGCCAGATTATTTGCCCTAATTTAAGGGCAAGCACTTCTGGCAGAATTTTGAAGTGTGGGACCAGAATAAATCTTGGCCATTTCACAGATTAATTTTACTTCAATTTCTAAAACTGTTCCACATCTCCAAGAATTACAATGACACCACTTCAGGCAACAGGGAAACAAAGTTCATTCCAACACACAGTTTTAAACCACTTTCTTGCCCACTCTCCCTGACTCTTCTAACAAGCCTTAATTCACCATCTGGCCTACGGTAGAGCCACAGAGAAGTGCTGCCAGCTCAACCACATCAGACATGCTTGGAACTTAGGCATCATCTTTGCAAGGCACTTGGTATCTGCCCAAGAGCATCAGCCCTCCACCTAAAACTTCTACCAATGTACACAGCTTTTCAACAAACAAACGTGGGGAGATGATGTTTCTAATCTGAATGGAATAATTCTTGTAATCTGACATATTTATCATTTTATTCAACAGAAAACACTAGCGTATTAAAAGAGAATCAACTATGTCCTAGCATGAAACAAGAACAAAAAAAATGGGGTCCCATCAAATTAGTTTCTTACATTAACAAAGAATTTAACAGTACAAAGGTGAGTAGTAAAAATGTAACTGTACTGGGGGTGTGTGGCAAGGTTTTCGTAATGGGGGGGCTACAGGGGTGGCTTCTGTGAGAAGAGGCTGGGAACCTGTGTCTGATGCAGCCAATGCCAGCTGGCTCCAAGACGGACCCACCACCAACCAACGCCGAGCCAGCTGTAGTCGTAACACCTCTGTGATAACGTGTGAGAAGGTCGAAATAAACAGGGGAGGGGAGATTTTGCAGACAGATGGAGAGCAAGATGTGGGATAAACAAGTTCTGCAGACCCCAAGGTCAGTGGAGGAGGCAAGAGGGAGATGCTCCAGGCGCCAGAGCAGAGATTCCCCTGCAGCCCATGGTGCAGCCCATGGTGAGGCCAGTGAGTGATCCCTCCCTGTCCTTGTCTCAACCCACAAGCTTTTTGTCATATTTTCTCTCCCTTGCACAGCTGAGGAAGGGAGTAACATAGCAGCTCTGGTGGGCACCTGGCCTCCAGCCTGGGTCAACCCACCACAACAACTCATCCCATATATCCTCAGGATGTCACCTGCCTGAGGATGAAGTTCAAATAACAGGCATTGAGAAAATCAGACAGCCAGTGCAAACAGGCTAAGCTGTACTGAACGTACCTCCAGGAACAGCAATCTGGGATTTCAAAGTGTCTTAAGGAAGTGCCTTCAAAAATGAAAAAACACACCCTTTCCCTATGGACTTGTTCCAGTTTTCTAATTTTAATAAACACAAATGCAAATGAAATGACAATATATCAAAATTAGCCAGGAAGTAAACTGCTAAGGAATGATTTCAAACATACAACACTAAACAAACAGCAGGCTCTGCGGACCAAGTAGGGAAAACAAACTGAGGGAATCAATTTAGCTGGTATGACTGAAGCAAGAGCCTCTTGAAACACAAATGTGTTTATATACCATGAAAACCTGAGGTCAGCAGCTACTCTGTCATTAAGAGTCTGCTCAGAGCTCACACTCTGCAACAAAAAACATCCTGGTCTCTTCTGCATCTCTCTCCTAATTCTAATTAATGTCAGAAAAGCAGACCCTGGTGTCTGACAGCCATACATGAGCACCCTTATGTCTGCCTTTTCCCCAAAATTTCCCTTTCAGTTTATCACAACTCCTACTGTACCTGCTTAACTGGGAAAGTGAGCTGTTGGCCAGATCACTGGACTGAGGCAAGCTGGACAACGTTGCCGCATGCTGCGATGCTGAAGGCAGAAGCGAAGCAGTGGTGGATGCCACACTAGGCAGAGAACCAGCAGAAGGTAGTGAGGGAGAAGGCTCTGTCTTAGGCGCTGGAACCGATGAAGTAGCTGCAACAAGTTAAAAAGAGGTATTCAAAGATAAATTCCAGCATACCTGACATCCTAACCTGGATTCAGGAACACAGTAGTATTCTCCTCTTGGTTTACAAGAACCTGACCATTAAGAACCAGTAACAGTATTAAGCAATCTGGCTATTAAGGAAAATTCGAACAACAGAAATATTACTTTTGCCCTTTAAGGTCTTCATCAACAATAGATTTGTAATTTTCACTGCTACACATCTTGTAAATTCCACTCGCCTGCACATCACCTCCCACTATCTAGATTACTAGGTTTTGCTTCCAAGTCAATCCTCATTTTAAAATATTTCTTACATATGGTTCTGTAAACAAGTAATTTGTGCTTTCCAAGGCACTGTACAAATCGACCTTCACCTACAGCTCCACTTCTGCATGCCAGCCAACACAGCACTTGGGATGACTAAGACTGAGATTGCTGGAATACAAGGAATATAACTTATCAGTTTGGAGTACTCAGTCAAATGTGTAATGAAGTAGAATAAAAGGTACAACAAAAGGCCACACGAGCATAGCATAAAGCATTTTTAATGGCTACAGAGTTGTCAAATATTGACTTATTTGACACAGATAAAAACAAGTGTTTAGTTTTAATATTACTTTTTAGGCTACACAGACTAAAACTCGTTTACCACAGCTAAGTCTTTCCAAAGCATCACTATACTATAATAAGAGACCAAAAGTCTACTGCCCAACTTAATACCCAGTTGTCACGACACTTATCTCTAGTCCTGCAAAGATAATATAAAGAAATAGAGGCACTCAACCACTAATAAAACTCAGAAAGAGAATTGAGCCGTGCCTTCTGCTGGGCCACACTTCCATTCCACACCAGGGACCACTACCTAGGGGATCACCACTAACTTGAAGACAGTTTTAGAATGGTCACTGAACAAAGGTCAGATATGCGCTTGGAAGTTACACATCACAGTTTGTCCTTGTTATACTACATAACCCAAGTCAGGTTGCTGGTTTAGGTGCTATGTACATGGAAATCAAGAGACCATGGCCTTGGCAGGAGGGTAACTGACAGCAGAGAAGGAAATTCAAGTGACAAACAGAAACACAGTTATGAAGGTGGTAACTAGATCACCTGACCTCCTGAATGGTTTCATATAAAAATAAATAAATAACATTTACAACTGTCAATATATTTTGAGCAGGGTTCCCTTCTTGAAGTAAAAGTAGATGTCCTCAATGCAAGGGACAGAATCAGCATCCTCATTACGACCCCTTACAAGATGCCTGGACACAGTGCACAAGACAAAGAAAACCAGAAGACAAGCAGGCTGGTCACAATTTTAACATGCCAGACATGCTCTGAAGTAAGCGTTTAGGAAGCACGAGATCTGGCTATTAAAGGACAATGAAAGGGAAGATGAGAGATGAAAGGAAAAGGTCAGTACTTTCCAAAGTTAACAGAAAATTTCAAAATCGTTTGGATGCATGAAATAGATGGAAGAAGACTGATTCCAATTTACATGCTTGAGATACAGAAAAAAAACCCCAAAAGTGCTCTGAAAAGAGAATTGGCATATAAAAAGGGACTAACAGAATAATTACAAAAATGCTAGGACTTCTCAGATCTTTGCTTTCCATAGCAAAGATAAGTACAGTAGTGAATTTCAGAAATTGTTTATTAATTCTGTATATGAAGAGTAAGAATGTTTTCCACCTGAGAAATCTTTATCTTTACATCTTTATATGTAAAAACCTTTTAAGTGGTAACTCTTTGGGCATATACACTCTTCCTGCTCATTTAAATTGAACTTGGCACTAACAAACCACTGTTTACAGGTCTGAATACTCAACTTCTTTCTACTCAAAAGTATAAAAAAATGCAAAAGGTTGCCCCACTAATGACCCACCTAAAGAGATGCTTAAGAGGAGAACAGACCTAAAATTGAAGTGCTGGAATTCTAAAAGATGTCATTGCACACTCTTGCCCTTGAAAACTTCCACAGAGAAGCACATAAAGGTCAGAAGAGTGAATACTGTAATTATTTTAACTCTGGGAAGAGAGCTGTAGGGGTGCTACAAGTATAATACCACATTAGAAACAGGGCAAGAGCAAAGTAACAGTAACGCCTGTGTCAGAAGCAGTACAGCGTTATTTTTACTCCACTGCAAGGTGGAGACATACTCGGCAGAGGGAGCTTGTTAGCCGCCCTTATCCTCCACAGGCTGGTTACGGCATCAGTAGCACTACTCCCAGGGAGAGGTACATTCAAAGAATGTGACTGTTCCGTTACAGCTCAATGCTACTTGCAGCTTCCCAACTGAGAACTGGAGAATTGCTAAGAAAGTCTATATTAATTTTTGATTCTGTATTTTAATTTTGGATTAAATAATTTTTGGCAGGCAAATTCAAAAGGAAAAGCATCAGCAAAGCAGCTGCCCTAATTATAAGACTGCTGAGGTTCATAGACTTCCTAGGGCTGCTTTCACACATCACTTCAGTCAAGAAGCTAGCAGTGTGTCCTATGCAAGTACAAAACAAACTCAAATGGGTCAGCCAAAAGTTAGTCAGGGAGAACAATATAAAACCTTAAACCAGAGGTCACTGCTACAGTTGTGGGCACAGGAAGTAGTACAGAAAGCAGAAAGTCCTGTGCACAGCGAAGCTTTGTAAACTTACTGTCAAGAGTTGCCTGTGTTCTTACACTGCTGTGTCCATTCTGTAAACAAAGGAGAAATGAATGAATAAATCATCTTAGAGGTATATTAAATTTTCAGACTGAATCACACATTGAACATGCTTCATGCAAAATTCTCTATTTTTTCTAAATTGAAAGACAAAAAAAGGCAGAAAATTAACTTTTTACTGACTTTAACAAAACCACGTAATAATTGTCTCAAGTACAAGGTACCCTGAACATAGACAACCCCATACACTGCCCATACTACACCCATCAGCAGGAGACCTTCCCATGTACTCTTTATAACAAACTTCAGGTTCACACCGATATGAAAGAAAGAATTGCATTAACATATAGGAAATGGTTGTGCTTTTGATCTAATGCAACTCACAATTTTAACTATCCAAGTTACACAGAGACGCCAATTTTTTTCCATTGAAAGATAAGACTTGAGAAGCACCAGTTGTTTTTTGGGTAACGCTGGAGAACAGAAGTGGATAGTCTATGCTTGATCCTCACCAGTACATACGAGCTAGTGCAGAAGACAAGTGTGACTGAGCCATTACATAACAAAGGCCAGAAGTAAATAAACTTACAAACTCTCACAAGTTCCTTAAACATTTAATGAATTCTTTTAAAACAAACCTACATGCTATATACAAAGAGAGTAGGTGCTTTTGAATTTCCCAACAGAGATCCTCTCTGTCCTAGATCAGACCTCTCCCTATGCTTTTTAAAATAAAACATGAAACCAACTCCCACTGGTGTTTAAATCCCACAAAAAAGTAATGCTGGAGGGGCTGCAAACAGTTTTGGATCTACTTGCTAGGTGGCATATGAATTTAGTAAATAATATACCTCTGGATAAAAACCATCACGTTATGGCAAAATACTGTGACTAACATTTACATACAGAAATAGTTCTGTTTTTAAATGCTAAGCTTCAGGGAAGGAAATTCAAGTAGAATGTTAAGTGTTACTAAGAAAAAAGGTCAAACAGCATTTTAAGATGTCAAAACCTATAAAATCAGAGCTTCTTATACCCCAAAGGCCGTATGGCCCAAAACAGCTACAGGATAGGAAAAACAAAATAACAGGGTGGGCTTGGGACTCCAAAATACCACTTGGCTTGGTTAAAAGTATTAACATGGATAAGAATATTTCACCTTTTTCAAGGTCTTATTTCTGAAATTCACTCACCGTAACTGCAACAGGTGCTGATTCAGATGGAGCCATGGAGCTTTGGTACGCTATCCTGCTATGCACAGAAGTCGGGTCATAGGAGGAAGTTGTTGTTACTGGGCTAGTGCTCTGGGATGAGCAGGTCAGACTGGAAGAGGTGATGGCAGAGGTTGTGTAGGTGGACTCCTGTACTGTATTGGATATTGGCAAAGAGGTATTCAAAGGATCACTGGAAAAAGTAAAAATTATTTATCATCTTGGTAAATGACATCTCAAACACCTTCATGAAAATATCAGCTCCTATACAGTTATCTGTAACTATCTTAAAAACATGCAGTCCAACCTACATTAGTTAGAAAATCTAATAATAATAGTTTTTTAAAAAAGTAATTTTGCTTTGGTCCCTATAATCACTGTTTCAAAACCAACAGCTGCACTAGGCACCATTCACCTTCCTCCTGCCAGCCCAACCAAAACAAGAGTTTACACACAAGCACTTTTCAGTCATGTTATTTCCACTTCAGGAAGCTTTTCAGTGAAGCCAGTTTTTGAATGAGTAAGGAAGAAAAAAAGGGTTATTGATACACTGGCATTTATCATTGGCTATTTTAGCATTTCAGTGAGAGCTGCTGCACACTGAAAGCCTGGATTCTTTCCTCATCCCACAGGAGCCTCAGATCTGTGACCTGGTGCCAATCTATTAATACACACATATATGGCACAAGCATTATGTCTCCTGGATCAAAAGCAGAAAAATTCGGGTTGTAAGGAACAAACCCTCAAACAAGTATGAAAATTAGTACAATTAAACATGAGAAAGCAACTTCATAAAGGGTAGCTTTTTCTGAGGTTATTTACATCCATGCCAATGCCAGCTTCACATCAATTCGTCCAGGAAGATTCTGACTGTCACTAGAAATTTCTCCTTTAAGACACCACCCACAGAAAACAGCCTTAAAAGTCATATTTCTCCCTCCCATTCCATGGTAACTGCGCCTTGGTGGTTTTGGCACAAACCTGACCCCCTAAAGAAGACATGTAAGATTGCACAAGGGAAGCTCACACATACTTTAGAGATTTTGAGTACAAGCTATTGTTGGCTGCCTGGCTGGTATTCTCACTGCTTGAAGCTGATCCAAACTCTGGGAGTGCAGGCTCCGATCCAAACTCCAGAGCTCCAAACTGAACATTTAACCCTGTCACATCCGCTGATCCAGGCATCTCCACTGCAGAGGCAGGAATCTTAAAGAAGGAAAAGAAAGCCATAATTTCTTTCCCTTTAGTACTACCTGTATTAAAGACACCAGTAACTGACACCCTCTCCTCCCTTTACTACAGGCTTCTTCAGCTACTGCCTCAGCCTCCCCTGCTAATTAGATCTGCAACCACACCCAAATTTATAAATTAACTACAGTCTTGTAACCTGAAATTAATTTATTGATTCTGTGCCCTGATCTGGAGCTGAATGAGTCAGACATACTGTTCTGTAACATCAAAGTGTCATCTGTGTCCATCCCCATTCAGTCAACATTCATCTTATGGCTACTAAGTCAATCCGGAATTAGTCAGCAACAGTCATTTTCCCCACAGAGCAATCAGGTGTGTGATTGGAGAAGACATCACCACTGTATTCTGGACCTAAAATTATCCAGCTTAGAATTTCCTGCTTTATAAACAAGAAATAAACGATGGTCTTTACTCTCCTTCATAGAAACTTATACAGAGAATAGAATCATACAATCACTTAAATTGGAAAAGATCTGTAAGATCACCAAGTCCAACTGTTAACCTAACACTGCTAATACCACCACCAAACCATGTTCCTGAGCACGTCATCCATACTTCTCTCAGCCCATTCCAATGCCTGAAAACCCTTCAGCGAAGAAATTTTTCCTAATATCCAATGTGAACCTCTCCTGGCACAACCTGAGGCCATTTCCTCTTGTCCTATCACTTGTCATTTGGGAGAAGAGACCAACCCCCACCTCTCTGCACCCTCCTTTCAGCAAGTGGTAGAGAGCGATCAGGTCTCCCTGAGCCTCCTCTTCTCCAGGCTGAACACCCCCAGCTCCCTCAGCCCCTCCTCACAGGACTTGTGCTCCAGACCCTTCCCCAGCTCCATTCCCTTCTCTGGACACGCTCCAGCCCCTCAGTGTCTTTCTTGCAGTGAGGGGCCCAAAACTGACCCCAGGATTCAATGTGCGGCCTGACCAGTGCCTAGTAGGAACAACCCCTGCCCTGGTCCTCCTGGCCACACCGTTCCTGTCCCAAGCTTTTGTGTGTTTTCACATTTACCAAGGACAAGCCACGACTCAATTACCCACCTTGGATGCTGGAGTTATCCTCCGTTTTGGTGGTTTTATGTGTTTCTGCTGGGTTTGATGGGCAGTCACTGCCTGGTTATCCATAGAGATAGTGGGGAGCTGTAACATTTTGCTAACAGCTATAGAAGTGTCTACTGGCGATGGATCACGGAGTTTTACCTGGGAGGAGAAGGACTCCAGCCCAGGAGGAGGAACAGGAACTGCCTGTGCTTGTTGTTGCTGTCTCTGGGTCAGCTGGCTCAGAACTGGGGATGGTTCAGGTTGGGATTTAAAGTCTGGTCAGCATTGGGAGAAAGAAATATCAAAAGTAAAGCATTAAACTCTGTTCTTCATCTTTCTACTCTTTATGAAAGAATCTGGGTGACCTGACATACTCAACAGCTATGATTTTACAGAGTGTGGAAGTCTCGTGCAGACACCACACAAGTTTCACACCAAACATTATCACCACAGTAAGGCCAAGATTTGATATTCTCTACTTTAAATAAGTAGTCGTGGACAAGCATTATTTAGCTTTTTTCAAAAATATGAAAACAAACCTACCTACAGAGTGACGTAATATCATCACACATTATTCCTTAGAAACATATTATTTTAATCAAACATTCTAAGTTTCACTGCAATTAACTGTGCCAATTAAATGTGATTACTTCCAAGGGGTCTGGAATTCCAATTCAGAGGTATTATGAGTTAGGATTTCCTGCTGCTACAAAGAGGATTTCAACACAAATAGGAAGTAATCCACCATCTCGATCTGGCTGAAAGTCAAGAGACACCGGACACTGACAGTTTTTTTCTAAGTCCTCCCTTTCTTTCAGACACTGAAAGCCATGGAGTGGCTCAGAGCACTGGGAAACAACCATAAAGATCCACAGCATTTGCAGTGTGAAGGTTTTTGAATTCAGTTATTTTTTTCAGAATTGCTGCATGTAAAGAATTGTAACTGCTAACAAACTGGCTGCTTATCTATCTGGAAACATATACAGATACAGAAGATAGCTACAAGAGCTATTACTTTTCACAGTGAGAATACTTCTAGGAACTACAATACCAAAATCAAGTTGGTGTCATTTCACTATTTCTACCAATTCAATTAAATGAAAAATCCATATTATGAATACACAAAATGGGTAACCTGCATCACTCTCTGTACACAAGGGAAAAAACACTGAGATGTAATGCACATTATGAAGCAATTATATAGTACTCATTCAAAATTTATGCAATGGTTACAAGAGAAAAATTCGTGGAAAAAAAAGACAAAATACGGTACAACCTTATACCCAGCTAGAAGCAGCATAGTCACAACTGAGGTTTTTCCGGGATTCATTAAGAAACACAATCACATCAAAGTTCCACTTAAATACTGAAGGACATTTAAATCAAAGATGTCATTATATGAAGGCTCAACAACTTCTCAAGGTGCACCAATGTTTATGGACAGGCTTAAGCCTACCAAATCTTAGTTTGTGGTGCACTCACAGTGTCTATGGCCAGAAAGGAAGTTTAACTCCTAAAATGTTGTAACCAACTGTATTATGGGATTACATTTTTTAGAAAAAGTCTTTCATTAAGGTTATTTTAAACTGTCACTGGTATTAGGAAATCTTACACACCAAGACAGAGAGAGAGAGAGAGGAGAGAGAGCTATGCCAAAGCACTTACCAAACTGACTAAGGACTGAGGACTGAGTAATGGATGGTTTTAGATCCCAGGATGATGTGGAACTTGTGGTAGTGGTGGCAGAGCTACTACTGTTTACTGGAGAGGTAAACTGACCCAAACCTGGAGATTTCAACTGGTCCAAGATTTGAGATCCAGAGGAATTTGCCAGTTTAGAAGATCCGAGTTCTCCAAAGCCAGAACAAAGAACTGCAGACTACAAAAAAGACAAAAAAGAAGAGGGGAAGGAGTGAAGTATTTAATAAATAATTTGAACATAATCATAGGGTCAATGCCTACAGCTGCTATGTGGCAGCAACATCTGTTGCCTGTCCTCTATCCACCAGGGTCATGACCCCATCGTAGAAGGCCACCATGTTCGTCAGGCACGATCTGCCCTTGGTGAAGCCATGTTGGCTGTCACCAATCACCTCCTCGTTCTCCATGTGCCTCAGCATGGTTTCCAGGAGGATCTGCTCCATGATCCTGCCAGGCACAGAGGTGAGACTGACTGGCCTGTAGTTTCACAGGTCCTCCTTTTATCCATTTTTAAAGATGGGGGTTATGTTTCCCCTTTTACAGTCAGTGGGAACTTCACCAGACTGCCATGACTTTTCAAATATAATGGACAGAGGTTTTGCAACTCCATCCGCCAGTTCTTTCAGGACCCGCGGATGTACTCCATCGGGTCCCATGGACTTGTGCACCTTCAGGTTCCTCAGGCGTTCCCGAACCTGATCCCCGCTACCCACGGGCGGCTCTCCATTCTCCCAATCCCTTCCCTTGTCTTCCATGACTCTGGGGGTACGGCTCGTGCCCTTGCCAGGTGCCCAATTTCAACCCATCACGATTGACTCAGGTATAGGGAGGTTTTCGCAAAAAGCAGTCCGATATGTGTTGGATAATAACACATTATAGTTTTCTGGCATAGAACTTTTCACTATAAATCAATTATTTCAGCCTAAATTAGAATGCAGTAAACACATCTGTTCTTTACTCAAAAACTAATATAAATACTTCACATAAACTGAGAAACAACTATCTAGCAAAACCAGAAAAAAGCAATCTTTTTGTGTGTGTGTGAATGGAATTAAGAATTCAATTCCTTCGATATTTGCAATCTGAATTTTACAAATACTGAAACATCTCATGAATTGAGCAGTAGTGGTAAAGTTGTTTAACCTGAAATATTTACTCGTGAAGAATAATTAGTAAGTGGAAGATAATTTTACCAGACTCTGAGGAGAATAAGAGTTTACAGCACTGGAGCTGCCAGTTCCTACTACCATCTGGGTGCTGTGCTGAGAATTTGTGAAGACTAGCGCTTGGCCAAAGGTCTGCTGTTGCGGAGCTTCAAATGAGTTGCCCTCTCCCTCTTGGGTAGAAGTCACAGGCTTCTGAAGCAGTGCAACCAAACCAATGCTGTAAGAAAAAGCAAAGTTGGGCTAGAATAAACATGACAAGGCTGCACTGAACCTGGAGAAAGCACTAACAATGCTAAAGCTGCTGTACTACCGGCTAGAGAATTATTACTGATGAACAGCCTTTCAAATACTGCTTGTCTGCCACACAAAACCAGGCAGAATAGAGATTTTTGCCAGAAAGTAATATTCTGCTAGCTGAAACCTTCCACTACAGTTAGAATATAAATTATCTTTGCACACTTTTCAAACATCATCAAATATATAACACCAAGAATCACATAAATAACCTGTATGACTAATATAACCAAGGAACTAGAGACAAGTCATAAAAGACACATTACGTTTAAGTGGATCCTGCCTGTAAGCCCATTATATAGATATAGATGGTCCACATTCTCTCCACAGCACACTACCCTTTTTTAAAAAGAGCAAGGATCAAAATCCTAGCACTGTGTAAGGTGTGTATGAGGACAGTTAAGAATAAAGGGACAAATGCAGCGATTGCGTGAATATGTGATGACATGAAAGTCACAGGATGGGCAGAAATAAAAGCTAAGTTTCTCAGGTAGTATGCACAAAGCCAAAAATCATTCTACCACACATACCTGAGCAGGATGAGAAACATGAATTTTCTTACATTTAGCACAGCTTGCTAGCCTCTATCATATGCACAGGTTTATCCAAAGAAAAGCAAGGCATTAAAACAGTAACAGAAACCTACTCCAAAAATTGTCACTTCAGCATCCTAAGCATACTGCAGGCTTGGGTTGACGCACTGCTTCCAACATTTTCATTAGCACAGTTTTATTAATGCCCAAACCTTTCTTATGCCAAGTTAATTTAAAACAAACTAACAAACCACCACCACCCCCCTCCAAAAAAACCCCACAACACCCAAAAACCAAAACACCAGGATTTGAGTTGATGAACTAAAATATTTTCTAGCCTAATTTGAAGAACATCGACTGGAAGAATATTTGCATTATAAAAACCAATATGTGAATATATCAGCTTTAAGAAGGAAAGGAATATAAACTGTAGAACTGAAACCATGCCTCTTCCAGATCATATCCATGTTCTAAGGAAAATTTTGCTGCAGTCTGCAGTACAGCAGTACAGCTGCATCAGGACGTTTGGGACCATCGGACCACCTAGTTTTCAGATCTTCCACTATCCTACTACCCAAATCTTCATCATATAACTTCAACCCCCTTTCCTGGGACCTTCAGCGAATGCAAGCAACCAATTCCACAACTTAATCTGCCAGGCATTTGGTGAAGAAAAAGTCAAGCAAAGGAAGGCAGCAGCTGCCATATTTTTGGTTCTCTATCTGAACTCTGCATCATTAATTAAGGAAAGTAATCGTGACGTTTACCAGGAAATTCACCTTTCTGCCAACACAAGCTTTTTGGTTAACGCATTTGTCAAAGAACTACAGTTTGAAAACTTTCTGCATCTACAGGGGCAGGCATTCCATTTTCTGGAAATCAAAGTCAGAGCTTCCTTTTCAACAGCAGAAAACTCTATTTCCATCTACTTTTGTCCCCACCGGTAAGGGTCTTTGCACAGAAGACAAGGTCTTCTCAGTATCGTGCCTGTTGATTTGGTGTCAATACAGGATCCCACAAAACCAATGACATGCAAGCAAAACTTTTGCAATTTTGAAATTAGCTTGACCAACCCAGAGACTGGGCTGCCCTGTGTCATTTTGCATGAGCAAGCTAACACGGCTTCACCAAGCAGAAGGTTTTTAAGGCACAGGGAAACCATGGGAGAAGAGCCTACCTTTGACTCGGAGTCACATGATTTTCAGCTGGCACAGAGGAAGCAGTGAAGACTTTTGTTTCAGAAAGCTGAAAAAGAAGGAGAGGTATTTTAATCATACACATGCTCTCACTTCACTGCTGCAACATCTGCAGAAATTCAATCCTGGTCATGCACTTTCAAGATAAAAGTAAAGTCAAACTACCATTACAACCAGTTATGCTGCAGCTCTGCTTAAAAAGACCAAAAAATGTAGTCAAACTCCAGCAAAGTCTTCTCCACAGAATCAAGTACCAATTTATTTAAAGTACTAGGAAATTTTATCTACTGAACTCAACAGCATACCATTGTAACTACATCCCTTTCAGCAAGTTTAACTTGAAGGTAATTAATTAACCACTAGAAGGTAATTAATGTGGCAGCTGGTATACCGTCAGTGTAAATATAAGGTATTCTGCAGACATCATTTAGGACTCCATAGGGCAGCTGTGATCAACCTTATTGCAGAAGTCCAACACATCGCACCATTCCCACTCACTTCGTGCATCCCTGTGTTTTGCATTTCAGCTCACACTCCGGTATGTACAGTGAACTAGCATTCGTGGTTCCTTCTTGGCATTTCTGCTAGGGGCGGCAGTAACAACTTAAACTGACTGCTCTGTGAGTCTGAGTTCGGAAACAATAATAAAGGGAGAATCATGTAATTGCTACTAGTGTATAACCAGTCAGGCCATTCACAGCAGAAAATTGTACTGCTTTCACCATGCAGTTACAATGAAAACAGATACTTGCACAATTGGCTGGGGAAAGGGAGCTGGTTGGTTGGGATTTTGAGGGGAAAGGGGGTGATTTTGCTTTGTAGGGGCATTGTTTGTTTACTTTTTTTTAAAACAGCTTTTCATTTTTAATGAAAAGTAGTTACGCAGCTACAACCTCCTAAGGCTAGTGAACTTGCATTGACAGGAATACTTGCAAACCAGAATAGGTCTTAAGCCAGTATAGGTTAGGTTTAACACGATGAAGACATGAACATGTAATGGTTATAGTTTAAATTAAACTTGCACAATATCACCCTTAACTACTTTGGTGTATGTTTGCATTCAGACTAAAGAATAGCAGACCTATTCAAACACCCACAAAGAAACGCCTTAGAATGTGACATTTGAATACAGCTCTTCCACGAAATTACACATTTTTAATTGCATACATTGCTAGCAGCCCAGTTTAAAGGACATCATGGACATGAACCCACAACATTGGAAGGATATAGACCAGTTGGAGCGAGTCCAGAGGAGGCCACGAAGATACCCTGAGGGCTGGAGTCCCTCTGCTATGGGGACAGGATGAGAGAGTTGGGCTTGTTCAGCCTGGAGAAGAGAAGGCTCCGGGGAGACCTTATAGCCCCTTCCAGTGCCTGAAGGGGCTACAAGGGAGCTGGGGGGGACTTTTTACAAGGGTCTGTAGTGACAGGACAAGGGGTAATGGCTTTAAATTGAAAGTGGGGAGGTTTAGATTGGATATCAGGAAGAAATTCTTCCCAGAGAGGGTCGTGAGGCACTGGAACAGGTTGCCCAGAGAAGCTGTGGATGCCCCACCCCTGGAATTGTTCAAGGCCAGGCTGGATGAGGCTTTGAGCACCCTGGTGTAGTGGAAGGGGTCCCTGCCCATGGCAGAGGGCTTGGAACTAGATGGCCTTTAAGGTTCCTTCCAACTCAAACCATTCTATGATTCTATGAGCCAATTTCACCTGCCGTCCCACAGGCAGCTCTGCTGAAAGTACATATACCCCTGAATGGGGGCATTTGATTGGGGTTCTCCTGTGAAACATCCGATTTAAGCAGGACACAGGGCTGAGCAGGAGCAATCACTTCACACTCACAGACAAAGCTAAAACGTTTCATGTAATCTACCAGCATCCACTCATGTGCAACACACTGTCATGAAAAAATGAGTACCGCCACAGTTCCTCCCTCCATTTCCTTCCCTTGCTGGCAATCCCACCTTCCTGGAACACAACCCTCTGTCATGTGCATAACGCTGCCAGCCCACAACTCTACGTACTGACCAAAACAAAGAAAGAAGATCGAGCTCAAGCATATTTGCAATTAAAAAGGCTGTTTCTCTACTGTTCAGCCTTTCCCTGCTGTACGTGTTGTCTTAGAACAATGTGTACTGCGCTTTTCGTAGAGTTAGGAAATTCCTGCATTATAGGGCACAAGGAGGTCAGCTAATGGCACGTGCCTATGGTCTGCAATCCGTCAGTTAATTAAATATTAAATTCTTTGTAATGTCAACAGTTTCTTACACTCATATAACCCAGGATAACACTGATGAACCCTGAAAACTAAGCAAATCGAGCAGCCTGAGGATGTTCCTGACAACATAAAAGCATGCTTGACACATGTCAGAGGACGTGGATCAGCATGCAAAACACAAGCTTCCAGCTACCAGCTCGGCTACACCAAAGTTTACACTACGCCCCGTGGCAATCTCACTGCCCCAAGCTCTGATCAAGCACCTAATTCAGAAGTTTCCCAGGATTACCACATTTTTCAAAACACATACTTCATACAGCAGCAGTTGAAAAGTTTTATTACACAGATGTATTTAGTATTTCTTAGAAGCAGTATTATCAGTTCCTAACAAAGTTATTTATGCTCACCATACACTACATTCGCAAATCTTTCACTGAGGCTCCGGCATTTTCCCAGAACAGAGAACAGCCATGAACCATTTGCAAATGTTGGCCTCACAAGGGTGTTTCGTCCATCTGCAGTGAAATGCCTGCACTTTTCAGCTCCTCTTCCTCTGGTAAAAAGCATTTTTCATTCACCAGACAATATATTTAACGACTGCCTACCAGCTCCTATGGCCAGTTGATAGGTGAGAACAGAAGATACACTCCAGCATCCTTATAAAAACTCAACATCAGCAAATCAGAAATAACACCACCTTCTCACTGCTTTGATATGATGTGCTGAAGATAAAGAAAATAAAACAAGTTCTCGTGCTGCTTCCTAGTAAAGGAAACATTCCCACCAAAATACACCTTTTTGGTTTTGGCGGGTTTTTTTGTTTGTTTTTTTAAGTGTTGCTGTTGTTTCAAATAAAAAATAAGACTACCAGTATTGTACAGAAAATGTTTGCCTTCATCCACTTTCTAGCAATTTCTATGTATTCTGTACCTCCCCTTCTGGTAGTTCCTGTAGTTAAACTTTATTTTCTTTAGCCAGAAGAATATGTTCACAATTTTAACAGGAAAACCCAGAGTCATTTACAGTACCTCAACATTTGTCTGGTTCTCCATTGTCCAAGCTCTGAATATCCCTTTAACAGAATACAACCTCCTGCTTTCACTGCAACTAGTTTCCACTCTACTTAAGAACATGCTGACAACCTACCATACTTGCTCAAAACTCAGTACTAAAGATAAATACCAGACAGGACTATTACATCACAAAAAGCTAATCCTTCTCAGGTCAAACAACATTAAATTTCACTCACCAGCTTGTAACATCTAGCTGACTATAGAGAACACCACATTTAAACAAAAATATTCTTCATACAAAACACCTGGACTGATCTGCAAACAGCAAATACATCAGCCTCCTTGGTTATTTCAATCATTAGTCATGCTGCTGGAATTGTTTATTATACGTTTCAATGTGTGGCTCCATTTCCCAGCCAGAGGTTCACATTATGCCTCTGTCTGCTAAGGTAAAACCAGAACCCATTATATGCTAATAAAGTAACGTTTTCAAATTCAGTAAACTAAAAATCTCACTTTCAAGGACCTTTTCTAACACTAAGCAATTCTCAGCTGTTTTCCACAATTTTTGTTTTGTAAAAGCAATGACAAATAGGATGCAGTACTTCAGAATCAAGTTCAGGAGAGTCTGCATATAGAAATATAAATTAAGAATGATTAAAAGACAGGGAAGAGTGCCCACAGGCAAAAAGACTACAATAGCTTTTCTTTTGTCACAGCAGCAGCCCTTTAGGAGATCACGCTGAGCTGTTCTTTTTTCACCATCCACTACAGTTCTGACATTTTTGCAGTTGCTGCTTTCCAGGAAACAGCCCCTTCTTCTGGAGGTGTGTCTTTATTCCTATAAAATGAATGGGCACTTGGCTACTGCCGTGGTTTAATCCCAGCCAGCTGCTGAGTACCACACAGCCGCTTGCTCACCTCCCCCCTCCTCCAGTGGAAGAGGAGAATCGGAGAAAAAGATGAGGAAACCCATGGGCTGAGATAAGAACAATTCAGTAATTGGAAATAAATGAAATAATACGATACCAACAATACCAATAATATTAACAGTAATAATAATACTACTTATAATATATAATGAAAACAATAGGGCTGCCAACAATAACAGGTAATGAAAAAAACCCAAATGATACAACTGCTCACCAGTGCCCAGACAGTCCCTGAGTAGCAAGAGCCAGAGAGCCAAACCAAGCCTGAGCAAAAGAGAGCACCACAGCAAAAGTGAGCTCCAGCAAGTAGGACCAAGATATCCGCCCCCCGCCACGGCCCACCCCCGACTCATATACTGAGTATGGCATTTGTTGGTATGAAATACCATTTGCAAGGTAGATTTTAATCCACTTAATATATCTTGTGATAGCATGGAATTATTTTTAGGT